ATTTTGGTCAAGAGTGTAAGGTCTGTGTCTTAATTCATTTTAATGCATATGGATGCATAGTTGTTCCAGGACCCATTGTTGAAAAGATGTCTTTGCTCCTTTGTCAAAGATCAGTTGACTATAATTATTCTGGTCTATTTCTGAGTTCTCTACTCTGTTCCATTGATCTACTTGTCTTTCTCTAGAACCAAACTGTCTTCATTACTATAAGTTTAGAGTCAGTCTTCAGGTTAGGTAGTATCAGTCCTCCGACTTTGTTCTTTCCCTTAAATACTCTGTTAGGTATTCTAGGTCTTTTGCTTCTCAATATAAACTTTAGAATAAGTTTGTTGAGATCTCTAAAATTGCTTTCTGGGATTTCATTGAGTCTGTAGATCAGGTTGGTAAGTGTTGTAGACTCTAAAGTTCTCTCTTGTCTAGCAAAGGAGCAGGATACAGGATTAAAGCGAGAGATGGCTAATGTCTGGGAATAGACAAGAGCACTGAATAAGGGTCTTTGCCCCGTTTTTATTGGGATCAGAAGGCTAACATGGTGACAGATGTGCACAAAGTGACAATGAATCTGTGAACATTAACTCATGGACGTGGGGGAAAGGGGGTCTTGAAGATATTTGGGGTTAGGTGTTTGGGTTAATACAAAACAAAATCCTGGCGCCGGGCGGCGGGGCGGAAGGTTGTTTACAGTGGACATGGGGCACCACCTCTGTTTATCTCAGCCTAGGGGATGAGACAGGTAGGGCGAGTAACCTCAGGGTTGACAAGGCACCTTTTCTTTTGTTAACCATCTCCGCTCAGGGCAACTTTGCCTGCAGCACAGAGTAGCGTCTATAGCCCAATTTACCTGTTTATCTAACTTGGTCCTTCCCTCCTTTCTGCTATAGTACTAAATTGGGGGGCACTTCTGCCCTGAATGCCTAATCTTGTTTATTTCACATACCTCTGTTCTATATTGGTACCTTTGCACCTCCCTATTCTGGGGCCTTTTCCCCTCCCTCTCTATTCTGGGGGCTCTGCACCCCCTCGCTGTTCTCGGGTGCCTTTGCCCCTCCCTCTCTATTCTGGGGTGCCTTTGCACCTCCCTGTTCTGGGGTCCTGATCTTATAACCCAAACTCGGGTGTGAGCATCTTATGGCTTTGTCCTTCTTTATGCCTTTGTAACCCATTGGTGTAAGCCCCGGGGGATTCCTAAGCTTATTTCCCACAGGTAAGAATTGACATCTTGACAATATTGAGGCTTCTTATGAATGTGGAATATTTCTGTCTCTCCTGTTACTTCTTATTTCATATCTTTCATCAGAGTTTTGTAGTTTTCCTCATACAAATCTGGTACATGTTCTATTGGGTTTATACCTAAGTATTTCATTTTTTTTTTTGGTATGCTAATACAAATAGTAATGTCTCAGTTTCATACTGCATTTGTTCATTGCTGGTGTATGGGAAAGACTGACTTTTGTACATTGACTTTGTATCCTGCAACTTTGTTATAATTACTTATTCCAGGTTTTTGGTAAGTTTTCTCAGAATCTCTGCATAGATAATATTGATATCTGCCAAAAAAAAGTTTTATTTCTTCCTTGCCAATCTGTATACCTTTTATTTACTTTTTATGTCTTTTTTTTTTAATGTTTGTTTTTGAGAGAGAGAGAGAGAGAGA